TCCTAGGATTAAGGGAAAGATTTAATCAATCCCTAATTGAGAGAGATTCTAGGAGTTTGTCTCTCCTATCTTTTCTTATTTAAGTTGTATGCTCAACATGTTTTATCAACACATTATCAATACAGAAGTTTTTCTTCTTCTCTCCCTTTTTATTTCTTCTTCTCTTCCTCTTTATTTTACAACAAATAAGAACTTAAACAAAGAAAAGAACATGCTAACAACATCCTAAACTGACAACACTGTATCAGCAGAAATAAAACTAAATCTAACACACAGTATGAAATTCCCCAAAGCAATGAATTATGTTCAATGCAATCAGGTGGACACTTTGGGAAATAGATTTCAAGTGGCAAGAGCCTCTAGATTCAAATTGGTTTATTGGATGGCTCCTTCAAATGGTGAAGTGGTCATCAATGTTGATGGTGCATATCGGGGCAACCCAGGCCTGAGTGGTGGTGGTTGCATTATTAGAACATCATCTAATGAGGTCATCTTTGTTTATGCAGCCTTATTTTGTATGGGGACTAATATGGTGGCTGAATGTTGTGCAGCCTTAATGGGAGTTAAACATGCTAAAAGTCTTGGCTTCAAGAAGATAATGGTGTTTTTTTAGTTCTAGCATTTTGGTGGACATTTTAAGTGGTAAGGCTTTCCCACATTGGTCGGAAGCAATTCAAAAAGAAGCTGTTAATATAGAGATACACTTTGTCCAATACTATAGGGAAGGTAGTAAAGCTGCAGATGATCTTGCTAATTTGGCTTGTGACTTTGGTAGGGAGTTTTGTTATACTTTGTATTCTTATTTTCCAGGTCACATTCGGCAGTTTGAGGCTGATGATGGTATAGGTTTACTTTTTCTTCGATGTAAATGATTGTATAGGTGCATCTGTCTTTTTGGATATGTTATGAGCTGATGGCCTCTTGTACAGCTTCTTAAAGGGGTAAGGTATTTAAGTCCTCCCCAAAGGCTTTTCCTTTTGAGATTTAATAAACTTCTACAGCAGTCACCCATCCACTGAGATATTTGGAGTTAAAAAAAGAAACAGAAACATGAAAAGACTGCCATGCAGCATTGGCTACCTTCCCATGTATTTTTAAGTTGAGATACACTAATACAAGACCTATGACTTATCTACTCCTCATAATCATAAGTCATAATAAAAAGACAAAAATAACCTGAAGTACATGGGTTCAACTATGATACTAGAAAAATTGATCACTAATCATCTTGCGTTATAGAAATGGTAACCAATCAGGTAGTATTCATCAAAATTCATAGGGCGGTTCTGATTGGTCAAAACTCTTCCAGTATCATGTCTTTCTGGCATCATAGGTTTTATCCAAAATATATAAAGGCATAAGTACCCCCAACAATAATAATAATGTTAAACGTAATTTCCTTCCAACACCATCTTATTGTCTTGTTTATTTCTTCTCCTATTTCTTTACTCTCATTTCTATGTTTATATTATTTTGGGTGATTAATAATAAACTTAATGATATGGCTCCACAGTATAGAAGTCCTTGACAGGCAAATGGATTCTCTATGCTCTTAAATTACATCTATGAAGATTTGTTATTCTGGTCATCAAAAAGTTCAATTACTGTTTAAAACTATCATGCAGGTGGTTGCTGCAATGTGTTCTAAAGTGCCTTTCATCAGCAAATCAATTATGAGAGCTACTAAATGTGGTAGAACATCCTTATTTATTTATTTTTTGGTTACTTGATCACTGTTCAGTGGTCTTTCATTTGGTGTAGATGGGGAGGAATCTGAAATATGGTCTATTTCTTATTTCCAAGGTAGTAGTGGGCTGGCTGACAAGTCCAGAAACAGCTTGTTGGGGCTACAGGGATCTGTTAAAGAAAGTTAAATGGACTATGACTGTACTTTAGTGTATATGGTTCAGTCCTTAGGGGAGGTAACATCTCGTGCCTCCTCCTAGGTTGACTGTACTTTGTTATTTGAATTAATAAAACTACTTTCATTTATAAAAAAATATGAATTTAAGATTATGATATTACTTTGACATTATAATAATTTTTTATTTTTTATAATTTCCAAATATTAGATGCATTTGAAAAATGTTAACTGAATCTAATCTTGAACTACTGGTAGCTTGTATATGATCCTCAACCTATTCCCTGTATCCATTTTGTTTCAAGTTGAAACTTGAAATGGTTGTTTGAAGATGTTTAAAACTTTCAAATTGGATGCTATACAATGCATAAAAACATGCACATCAGTGCTATATGATTTAATAACAACTTGCGTTACTATTAACTTGAACCTAATATATGGAGTTGGGGGGTTTTGTAATCCAATAGAAATAACCTATGTGAATTCACCAGTGCAATTGAAATCCTAATGAAGACATGGAATAAGACAAAGAAGAAGATATCTCTGGATCAGAGTTTCATAGAGTCCTGCGAAAAATTGCGGTTTTCTCACTTGGATTCTATTAGGTTCCTATGGGGTCCACAGGCCTGGGGTGATCTGTAGAGGATGCCCTAACTAAGAAATTGATGCCTTTGGCTCAACAAAAGACCCAATAATAATTTGAAAGAAATCCGATTCTTGTGTTTGTGGATCTAGATGGGAAGAATTGTAATCTTAGATAAATCTACAGATTGATCTGATATTTCTTTATTAGTGATTTCTAATATTTTATTGTGCTGATCTTATTATTTGGTTATTCTGGAGATTCTGCAAGTTGTTTGGAAGATTCCTGATGTGTCATGTTTGTTCCACAGTGGATATAAGGCTGAATGGCTTATAGCTTTGGTACCTAACAAGATCTAATCCCTATTTATGTAGAATTTGTATGGCCAATTTATTAGTCTAGGGAGGTTAGGATGGTTTTAGGGGTGATTTAAACTGAAAATAGAGATTGTAGGTTTGAAAAGGTCTATGGACTTATCACAAGAATCAGGAATGGTAGGTTTCTCCTAGGATGGTGAAAAACTTCAATAAAGTAAGTCTAGGATAGGAATAATCAGATTTCATGGGTATGGTTAGAATAGAGTTGTAGAGTGTGAACAATTTTAGTTAGGTTTGGCATACATTTTGCACAAAAGGACATATATACTAGTTTTAGGCAAAAATTTTAAAACTATAGAAACTAGGGTTCTAGGGGGACCTTTGAAATCATATTTGGTAAGATAACAGATTATAAAGATCTATGGTGGCTATCCAAGCATCAGAGAAGTTGAACATAGTTTGCACAAAAGGACGAAATTGTTGACATGAGAAAATTTAAAGTTATAAAAAGAAGAAAAAAAAATTCTTTGCTCCTATATCAATAGTCTTGTTTTGGATCATAAGTAATTGTTGCCCTAAAGCTATATTTTTTTATTGTTTTAATAAGGGAAGAATAGCTGTTGGATCCTTATTTCCAAAGAACTATTTAAATACGGTTCTCTTATGTAATTGGTTTGTTAGAGAAATATTGAATAACTTAATAACCTTTAAAAGTGATCTCTTTTATTTATTGATGACATATGATCTGAAATCAGTGTTGTAGTAACTTATGATATGGCAATTTTAAACACATTTTTCCAAAAGAAGGATGAACAACTAATAACATTTAAAAGTGGATCAAACATAATTCAACTAGATTTTTTTTTCATAACAAATGATGTGTAAAAATTGCAAAGTTATTTTGGGAGAAAGCTTAACAAAACAACACATATCGATGGTGGTAGTTGTGCCCATCAGGAAATGGAAGAGAAATAGGGAATAAAATTAGGTGGGAAAACCTAAAAGGAGAAAAGATAGCTCAATTTAGAAATAGGTTGGTAATAGAAGGGAATTGGAATTTAGATGGAAAGATTAATGATATTTGGCTTGAAATGGAAAACATAAAGAAAGTAGCAAAGGATGTCTTACAAGAATATAAAGGGAGATGGAAAAGCATTAAAAAACTTAGTGGTGGAATGAGGATGTTCAAAATATAATCAGATTAAAATGAGCATGTTACAAAGAATGGCAAAAAGCTAGAAAGGTAGAAAATTGGGAAAAATATAAAACCATACAAAAGGAAGTTAAGAAGAAAGTGAATGAATTTAAACTTAGGTCTTATGATGAGATTTACCATAAATTAGGCACTTATGAGGGAGGAAAATGAGAGAAAGGAAAGACAAAGATTTAAACAAAAATTAGGCACAGAAGACCTGTCTAGGAGGCCCCACACCTTTCATGTTTGAAAATATGTGGCTAGAAAACCCAAAATTCATTGATCAAATAAAATTTTGGTTGGAGGAAAAATTTGGATTGGGAGAGAAATGGATTAAAGCATGCATTAGTTTAGTGCATTTCTCGGTTCTATTAAATGGTGTTGCTAAGGACTTCTTCCTAGAAAAAATAAGCTTAAGGTAGGGAGGTCCCATCTCCCCCTTCCTTTTTACCTTTATTGCTGAAGTGCTAAGCAAATTGATTGTTAAAGCTAATCTAGATAATGTGCGTAAGGGTTGGAGAGTTGGCAGGAATGAGGCTATTGTTATCCACTTACAATTTGCAGACGATATAATCATCTTTTGTGAGGACTGTAGTGAATCTAGTGTGAGAAACTTAAAAATTATAGTGGATGGATTTCAAAGGGTTTTGATGTTGAAAGTGAACTGAGGAAGAGTTGTATGGTAGGAATTAATGTGGGAGAACAAGATATCCAAGAGGTAGCAGGAATACTAGGATGTGAGGTTAGAAGTTGGTCCGTAGAGTATCTTGGTCTGCCTTTATAGGGTAATCCTATGTCAGAAAGCTTTTGGAAACAAGTAGTATAAAGATTTAGAAAAAAATAGCTTTATGAAAGAGGAATTACATCTCTATGGGAGGTAGAATCACTTTATATAGATCCACCCTAGCCAACTTGCCTACCTACCTCCTGTCCACCTTTAGAATACCAGTCAAAATTGCAAAGCTTTTGGGAAAAACTATGAGAGATTTTTTGTAGGAACCAAGCAATGAAAGGAGAGATCATCTAATCAAATGGGAGAACAGGTGTGCAAGCCTAAAGAACTAGGAGGCCTTGGTATTGGGAATCTGACTAAGAGAAATACAACTTTGTTAGGTAAATGGCTTTGGAGATTTCCTCTAGAAAGAGATAGGTTGTGGCACAAGGTCATTGGAAGAATTCATGGTTTGGCAGAAAATGACTGGGATGCAAATTTGGGTTGGGGAGAAAGTTTTATTCTGGGAGGATCTTTGGGTTGGGGACTTGCCCCTTAAATTGCAATTTCCTTCACTCTTTGTCCAATTATAAGGCTGAACCTGCCTCTAAATTTTTTCTACTCTTGGAACTTGGGTTTAGTTGGGAATATGGTTTTACAAGAAGTCTGAGAAATAGTGGGTGTGACTCCCTTGTTCTCTTATAGTCTGTGAGTAAACCCTAGTAGATTCTAGGTCAAAGTAGAGAAGAAGAAAGAAGAAAGAAAAGAGAAAGAAGAAGAAGAAGAAGAAGAGTATTCGGCCAGACTAGAAGAGAGAATGTAAAATCACTTCTCTCCTAGCCGACCCACTTGAATTTATTCAAAAACTTAGAGTTACAAGAAAGACTATTTTGTCCCTCATAGAAGATGGGACACATAACTTAAACTCAGATACAATAGACCTTTCACTTTCAAGAAGATAAACCAGAATGACGAAAATACCCCTGACTCGAGCATTCTAACATAGTCAAAACTGTAAAATGTTTCTTTGGACCTTAATACTTTAAATGGAAGAATTTGGTCCCCCTCACCTGATGGTGTGTTCTCTTGTGCCTTCTTTTTTAACCTTCTTGTATTATCAGAACCTTTGGGTCATTGGGTGTGAACTTCCCATTAAAAGAGATCTGGTGCAAACCTATCCCTCCAAAAGTACAAGCTTTGTGTTGGGAAGTGTTCATTGGGAAGATCAACACTTGTGAATTGCCACAGAAAAGAAGGCCAAATAAGTGCCTCTCTCTTCATGTGTGTCCTCTACAAGGGAAGTGGTGAGGCCCTCCATCACTTGTTAATCTCCTAATCCTTTGTGTCTTGTATTTGGAAACACCTCTGTTGTCTCTTAGGTTGCAAATGGGTATCCCACAGAAAAAGAGAGGGAGAATCTTGTGGAGGGCAGCAAGAGCAGTGATGGTATGGACTGTTAGGGAAGAAAGGAATCAGAGAATCTTTAATGAGGTGCAAATCTAAGGAGGATTTAATTGAAGCCATAACAGTAAGAACAACACATTGGGTAAAAACTTTGTATCTTTTCCAAGAATTCTCAACAAATGACATATTAATGTCCTAGACTGAAGTGGCACAAACAGTGAAATCTGCTGAAAGTGTAAGATTGGTTTGGAAACCTCCAGCTTGGAATAAGTTAAAGTTTAACTTTGATGGCAGTTTGATGGGTAATCCAGGAAGGGCCAGGAATAGGGGGAGTTTTTAGAAACCACCAAGGAGTGGTGTTGACACTATTTTCAGGACCTATTGGTTTTGGAGATTCAGTTCTGGCTGAAGTCCTGGCTCTCTTACAAGGTTTCAGACTTGCAGTACAGCTAGAATTAAGGGATTTGGAAGTCGAAGGAGACTCACAATTAGCCGTCTCATGGACCAAAAATTTCAGTTCATCTCACTGGAAATACAGACATGTTTTCAGGGAACTTGATATCCTAGCAAAGAGGTTCAATTCTAGCTTTAGCTAGATAAGGACTGCAAATGGATTGACAGATGTTTTGGCAAAGCAAGGAGTTGACTGACATAGTTTATTTTGGGCAAAGCTGTAATTTGATGTATTTTGGGGCTTCTATGTAACTTGGATGTGAAATTTTGGGACGGCATTCCGGTCATCAAGTTGTATTAACTACTTTTTTAATTAAGTTTAATGAAATTTACTTTCTATTGATCCAAAAAAATTGCCTTCAGGTTTTTCTCAATTTTGTTCTGGTCGGGTCATGAACCAGATTGGCAACTGGAATTCAAGGCACCAACAAAAGGCAGCTTTTTTGGAAGGGCTAAAGGCAATTTGTCTATGTTTTTCTTTTTATTTGTTGTTTTTCCTGCTCAAACAGGAAGCTATCCTAGTGGTTTTGATACTACTAGAACTCAGCTGCTCCTTCCCTAAACATAACAAGTAGTCTAGGGATTACTTTGTTGGACTATACAATTCCGGGCTATTAGACCCTGCTTGTAACACACTATAGCAGTAGCTGCATTTTGGTAGCTGTATTAGTTAATATTAGAGCAGCTGAGAGACCTCTAAAGAAGTCAACCGATCCTGCTCCTAATGATGAAGGATGATGAAGGCAATGACACCATGGTGAAGTCCATGCAAGAGATGCTGCAAAGTTTGGAAAGTGCCTTTAGAAGGGAAATGCTGTAGCCTCCAAGGAGATTAAAGCTATAAGTGAATGACACCTGGCCTCCCACTTAAAGAGAGGGAGAGATAGGGCAAGGGGCACTCCTTTAGTGGCCTAAATGGACTTTTTAGTGGTCCTGACCTAATTAATTGGCTTTTAAATAGGCCTGAAGTAATTAGACTGCATGGGTTTATAATTGAATTCTATTCTTCTCAAATACAAGTTTTTGCAAATTTTGCTTTCAACACCCCAATCAACATTCTTACATGAAAGTGTGGACCATGCAGACTCATTCAACTTATTGGTTAATAGTGGTGCAGCTGCAGGCCAAGTTATATTTCATGTAAGTTATTCTTCATGTTCAATTATCAAGATATCCATTGTCTGGGGACAGATCTTTTCTTTTTTAATTAAACACTTCATCCACGTTTCTCAGCCTGTTCAATTTATAGGACTCCTCTTATTGCGAAGTGTGCTACATTCTCATTTTTCTGGAGTTTGTCATTAATTTAAATCAGATGTATCTAAAATTAATTAAATGAAGTATCATACCCATTTAAAGGAAATGGCAGCCTGAATCTGTATCAGGTTCACATGAAAAATCAGATGTATGTAAAATTTTAGATTGAGCTCCATCTAATTTAATCTTAGCATGAAAACTGCAGACACATATCCATATAGTTCCTCGGAATGCACACGATCAGTTATGGACTTCCAAGGTAAATGCCCCTTAAACTACATCAGTTTATTCATTTTTTTGAATGGTTACTTGATATTGAAACAAGGAACTCTTCTAGAAGTTGTTATGATGCAATTTCTTTCTTTGATAGAGTTAATGTAAATTACCATGGATTTGAGTTAATATATCCTGCTAAGGGCACAGAAAAAGATAATTCTATCAAACAGGCATGGACTACAACTTACGTTGGATTTGAGTGAATATAAATTCTATAATTTGTTTGCTCATTATTCTTTCTTTTTTTCTTTTTTTCTCCTTATTCTGTGTGCAAGATACACACAGCAAGGAAATGTTATGGTTTGATCAGCACAAGATCGGATTTGGATTGTCTTCTACAGATCAGAATGTGTCTAATTCTTGAGAGAATGAACAATAGGAGAGGAAACAGCAATTCGATACGTTGCTTTGACACAATGTTCTAATGTAATCAGACCTGTATGGCAGCTAGAAAGCAGGAGAAAAAGAGACAGAAGAGAGAACAATAGACAAAAGGGAGTTCTGTGCACACACTCATTTTACTTAATGGTATCATACCACTTGTTTCGATCATGTGGAGGGAAAATTACATCTATACCCCACTTTAATAATAACCTTAATAAAAGAAAAAGCACTTCAATGGTTTTGATTCTTAAATCAGTTCTTAACTTTTATTTATTGTTGTTTAGGCTCTGTTTTTGTATTTGCATTCTTCCCAAATAGAGCTTTTATAAAAGTTAATCCTGAAGTCATTAAGTTCTAATTTCAGTTTTCTTCAACCATTTTTATTTGTTGACTTACAATATTCAAGTCCTGATTATTAAATTCATAGACTTAATGGGGCTGGGCAAACAACCTCTATCCTGTTCCATTTTGTCAAGTGCTTCAGCTTAGTAGAAATCTACTGAAACAAAAAACTGTAAAAGAAAAAGAAAGAAAAGAAGTGTTTTTGTGAGAGAAGAGAAGAAGAAGAGAAAGAGTGAAGAAAGGAAGAGAAAACAAAAAACCAATCTGTCCATCCTTTCCCATTATTATTTATACTTAAAATAAAAATTATGTACAATGACAGACATGCCGTTATAGGGAAGCTGATACTAAAAACTCAATAAAAAGCATAACAACACTACTCTAAAAGATCCCAAATAATATGCTGTGGTTTCCACTTCTCAAACAAATAATAAACAAAATCAAGTAACAAAAACTGTAAAGATCCTCAACACTCCCCCTCAAGTTGGGAGTAAATGTCACACATTTCCAACTCGTGTAGGTCATTTTCAAGCTTACTCCTTGCAACCCCTTTAGTGAAGACATCAACCAGCTGTAATTTAGAAGGTATAATGGAGGCAAACTTCTCCATTTGTCACCCTCTCTCTTATGAAGTGTTTATCAACCTCAATATGTTTTGTCCTATCATGCTAAACTAGGTTGTGGGCAATATTGATTGCAGCTTGGTTGTTGCAGTATAACATCATAAGCTCCTCTGCATCTATCCCAATCTCACTCAACAAGGACCTAATTCAAAGTAATTATGAGTCACCATGGGCCATAGATCTATACTCGGCTTCCGCAATTGACCTTGCCACCATTGACTGCTTTTCATTTTTCCATGAAACCAAATTTCCTCCCACAAAGGTACATACTCCTGATGTAGATCTCCCATCATCTAAGGCAACCTACCTAATTTGCATCTGTATAAGCCTCTAGTTTCAAATTCCCATGATCAGTGAATAAAATTCCTCTACCAGGATGCTTCTTCTGGTATGCAGGTATCCTAGCTGTAAGAAAACCCTATTCGATTTTAGGTTAAAGTAGAGAAGAAGAAAAGAAAGAAGAAGAAGAAGAAGAAGAAGAAGAGAAGAGAAGAAGAGTTCGGCTAGATTAGGAAGGAGAAAAATCAGTCCTCCCTAGCCGACCCACTTGTATTTATTTCAAATAATAGAGTTACAAGAAAAACCATATTGTCCCTCATGAAAGATAGGACACATAACTTAAGCTTAAATAAAATAGACCTTTCACTCTCAAACAGATAAACCAAAATGACCAAAATACCCCTGATTCGTGTATTCTAACACTCCCCCTCAAGTTGGAGAGTATATGTCATATAGTTCCAGCTTGTCACAAATATAATCTACTCTGCCCCGAGACAATCCCTTTGTAAAGAGATCTACCCACTGATTTCCTGAGCTCACATGAGATGTGGTTATCACTCCACTTATCACTTTCTCTCATACGAAGTGACAATCAACCTCAATATGCTTAGTTCTCTCATGGAAGACTGGGTTGGAAGAGATGTGAACATCAGCTTGGTTATCACAGTATAGTTTCATGGGTTTATCAACTAAGAACCCTATCTCTTGTAGCAAGTTCTTCAACCATACTAGTTCACATGTGGTATGAGCCATAGACCTGTACTCAGCTTCTGCACTACTCCTTGCCACCACTGTTTGTTTCTTGCTCTTTCATGTTACAAGATTGCCACCAAGGAAGGTACAATACCTTGTAGTTGATCTCCTGTTTGATATAGAACTAGCCCAATCAGCATCTGTGTACCCTACTATCTCAAGGGTCCCTCCACTCTGGTATAGCAAACCACGACCTGGAGCACCCTTCAGGTACCTAACAATCCTTAGAACTGCTTCCCAATGAGGAATCCGAGGATGTTGCATAAACTGACTCRCTATACTCACAGCAAATGATATATCTGGTCGGGTAATGGTTAGGTAGTTCAACTTTCCCACTAACCTCCTGTATCTTCCTGGATCATCAAACTCTTCACCTGCATCAACACTCAACTTGGCATTGAGTTCCATAGGAGTCTCTGCTGGTTTAGCACCTAACAGCCCTGTTTCTTCAAGTAGGTCAAKAACATATTTTCTCTGACATAAGTTAATTCCATGTTTTGACCTTGCAACCTCTATTCCCAGGAAGTACTTCAGCTTACCCAAATCTTTTGTATTGAAGTGGTCT